ATATTAAAAATGATTTTTTCAAATAAAATAATTAAAATAATATTTTAGAATAATTGCATAATAATTCAAATACAAATTTGCACACTAATGTTATTCAATATTTTGTAAATAAAAATGTATAGATAAAATGTATACATTTAAAATAATAATCTTCTCAACGAGTAAACAAGTTTCATTTGTTAATTTTTATATAATTTTTTATATTAATTGTTGTTTTATTTCTTCGATGTAGTGTAATAAAAAAATATTAATTTTTTAAAATTTTATATTAAAATTTATTTATTATGGGTTTTTATTTAACAATAAATGCATAAGAAAGAACGTATCATATTTTTTTGACTTCAAAATTTATTCAAAACATAAAAAATCTATATAGATACAAAATTTTGATTAAAATTATAAAATTAGATGAAATTTTATATTTTATATTTAATTTAATATATTTTAAATGACCAACAACATAATATATGTTATCAAATTGAAATAAATATGTTTAATTGAGTCTACAGCGTAGTGCGAGAATCCGAACTGTTAATATATCTAAAATTCTTGTTCACTTATTGTTCATATGCATAAAATTACTATGCACTTGATGGCAATTTAAGTAATTTTTGTGTATGATTTTTTGTGTATTTTTGGGTATTAATATGCAAATTTAACACTTTTTTCTATTTTTCTTCCCTCATGTTGTAACATTTTTTTTTCAATCCTTAGTTTTTATTTTTATTTCATTTTCACACATCATGGGTTTGTGTGCTATCTCTTTGTTTTTTTTAAATTAACATATATTTTAGTTCATACTGACTTTTTATATTTCATTATTTGAATTTATCATTTTTTTATGAAAATTCTTAACAAATTAATATTTTTGATATAAGATTTTATTTACTGATAAATATAAATTTTTTTCTCTATGTTTGAATTTTAGAATAAAATTTTAAAACATTATTTAAAAAAAAATTGGTATAACATATATCATGAATTGTTAGAATTTTTAAATGATAGTTGCATATATATAAATATATAGTTATTTTATTCTAAAAGATTAAAAGTGTATTTAAAATAATTTATTTCAGTTTATTAGGTATGATCAAGACTTATAAAAAAAACTATTGAATAGTTGATTTTATTAAAAAATAACGAGATATCTTCCAACATAATACAAATTATTTACTATGATTTTTTTTTAAACATTACAAAACCAATTTATTTGAAATAAAATAATTAAAATAATTTTTTAAATGAACCAACCAATTATTCAAATATATTTTTTTATACTAATTTTACTAATTATTTTGTGTGTGTGTGTGTGTGTGTGTGTGTGTGTGTGTGTGTGTGTGTGTGTGTAATGCATATACTTGAAAAAAAAAATCTTCTCACTAGCATTAAATAAGAATAAAAATATATTTTTGCATTGGTTAATTTTTATGCAAGTCTATACATTAATTATAAATTTATTTTTTGGATACATTCTTATAAAAAATTATAATTTTAAAGTTTTACTTTTGAATTCTTAATTAATATTACGAGTTTAAATTGTTATAAGTTTTTATTTAAGAATCCCCAAATAAAGAGAATAAATCATGTTTCTTTAAGCAAAAATTTTATGAAGAACCAAAATAATAATAATAATAATTATTATTATTAAATAAAAAAATTAATGAAAAATTTTTAAAAATTTTAAATGATTTTTTTTCTATTTATACATAACGTTATGCGGATAATTTCAAAAATCAATTTTCTCATTAACATTAAATAAGAATTTTTTTTTCATTTGTTAATTTTGTAAAAGTCTGTAAATTAATTATAATTTTATTTTTTGAAATACAATATTATGAAATTATATTTTTAACGTTTTTTAATTCTTAATTAATATTTTAGTTAAAATTATTATATATTTTTTATTTTAAAATCAATCCACAAATAAGAACGATTCATGTTTTTTTAAGCAAAAAAATTATAAAAAAACATTAAATAAATTAATTACATAAAAAATTATAATTAAAAAATTTTAAAATGATTTTTTTTAATTGGATCTGCAGTGTATCATGAGCAAACAACTAGTAGGAACTAAATCATAAAGCGGTGAAAATATCAAAAAATCTTCGATTGGATGTATTTTGTTGAAACTAAACCCCTGATCTTTTTAGCATTTTACTGGAAAGCGAATTCGCGTTGCTGGGACTCTTTAGCATGCGTACATAGTTTTTTTTCTTTCAATTTTTTTAATGAACTTCGTGTAGAGCAAATATGAACCAAAATTACGTTTGGTTAAACATTTATTCTATGTAAAAGTAAATGGATTGAACAAGAGTTGATCAAACATAAATTAGAAAATCCACAATAACAATTGTTTTTGCAATTTGTCATGGAAAGCTTAAAAAAAATATTCTTTACAAAATAACCTCTTGATCAATGCTCATGAGATCCATGAAAACAAGTTCTACATTTAGGAATGGCAATGGCAATCCTCGCCACCACCCTGCCTTTCACCCTGTCCCTATGCGGGGCGAGTGACGAGGATCCTCGTGGGCACCGAGGATCCCCTCGGAGAACCGGTGCCCTACTTAATTTTTTACATTTGCCCCGCTTCTTTCTAGCTCATATTATCTTATACTAAATTTTAAGCTATAACAAAAAGATAACGAGTTCATATAAAAAATACAATTAAAAAAGACAATCATTTAATATCACATTCGACTATAAATTTACAACACAATTCATAATATATTAAATTATTTTTAATCAAATAAATAATATACTAAATTAAGTTGATAAAGTATCGCAAATGTAATTAAAAAACATAAATTTTGCATATCTTTATTACTTAGAGATTATCAAAACTCACTTATTATATCATCGAAGACTAGTTTGTAACCTTAGAGTTTATATATATGTTCGGAATAATTGTAATTTCTAAAGGAAAAGATGGAGGGGAACATGCAAATACCATCTCCGCCCATCCCCGTTCAAATTCATTACTAGGCAAGGCTTCTTGTCCTATTCTCTAATCAACTCATGGAATCCCCATGTTTATCGAGGCGAGAGAGGCCGGGCCTCGTTGAGGCGGGACAAATTACCATCCTTGTCTATATGACATACAACAAATGGCATGTCAAAAAAAGATTTAATGATAAAATTTACTTTTATTTTATTACGAATCTTTGGTATCAAATTGTATGTTTTGAACTCCAAATTTGTACCAAATTTTAAACTATAGCAAAAAGGTAATAATTCATATAAAAAATTATAATTAAGAAAGACAATCATTTATTATCATATTCAACCATAAGTTTACAACACAGACTCATAATATATTAAATTATTTTAAATCGAATAAATAATGTACTTAATTAAGTTAATGAAATATCACAAATGCAATTAAAAAACATAAATTCTTGCATGTCTTTATTACTTAGAGATTATCAAAACTCATTCATTATATCGAATACCGGTTTGTACCCTCAAAATTTATATATATTTTGTGTATAATTGTAATTTCCAAAAGAAAAGACGGGGCTTCGATTCCCCAATCAACTCGTAGAATCCTCATGTAGACCAGAGTTAGGGAGGGCTAGGGCCCCTCGAGGGCGGGGCAAATTATCATCCCTATCTACATTACATACAACAAATGGCATGCAAAAAAATGATTTAATGACAATTTTTAATTTTATTTTATTGTGAATATTTAGCACCAAATTGTATAATTTAAACTCCAAACTATTAACTTTTCACAAAATTAATCTAATTTTTCTAATTGCCAATATATAAAACGATCAACTCCAAACTATTGACTTTTGAGAAAATTAATCTAATTTTCCTAATTATCAATATATGTAATGATCAACTAAATTGATTATTACTTGAAATGCCAAAACAATGTTGTTTTAATATTCTATTGTTAATTATTTTTAATCACCCTAATCTTGAGCTTTTATTTTCTTATAAAATATTACAAACATTCTAATAAATTATATATAAAAAATATTTTATAAATATTTTTAACCATTTTTTTCAAACTTTTTTTTTTTATAAAATATCAAAAACATTTTATAAAAAAACATTTTGTTCTTTATAATTTATAATTTATAAAATTAGGAAGATCAGTCCTTAATTATACTCATTTTAATTTATAAAATATTTTTTTTAAATGCTCGAAATTATGTAATTTTACTTATTTTTAATTTTTTTTATATAAAATGTTTATAATATCAAATTAAAATTAAAATGTTTATAGTATAATATGTTATAAATTAAAATGAACATAATTAAGGGTTGACCCTCTTAATTTTATAAATTATAAATTATATAAAAACATTTTTTTATAAAATATTTATAATATTTTATAAAATAAAAGTTTTTAAAAAAATCTAAAATTAAGGGGGTTAAAAATATTTATAAAATGTTATATATAAAATTAACAATGTCGTTTTAGCATTTCAAATAACGATCAATGCATGTAACGATGATTAGAAAAACTAGATCAATTTTGCCCAAAACCCAATAGTTTGCGATTCAAATTATGCAATTTAATACTAAGGGTATGAAATTGTCAAATCGCAATAAAATAAAGGCAAAATTTGCCATTAAACATCCCAAAAACAGAAAGTATAAATGAACTACTGCAACATAATTTTCCTGGTAATCCACATGAGCTGCTACTTCAGAACATGAAAAGCATAAACATAAGTTGAATATAAATGCATTTGAGTTACAAGGACTGAATCATTTATTTACAAAATGATTGAAAGAGACATGGCAAGCAAAATGTTTATGGCACATAATTCACACACAAGAAATGGACATCTAAAAAGCGGTGGTTAAATTGTCCTAACCAAATAAATGAAAAATTACTAAACCCTTGATGTCCACGAATTAGGTCCAAGAAAAGGTCAGGTAGAATTATCTACAGGTAAAGGTTTTAACTATCCATCGAGATTCAGGACCTACTTTTTTTCTGTTAGCTAGAGCATCGACCACTACCTTTCAAACCCAAAGTATCAACTTCCATCCTTGCCCTCTTCACTCGGAGGTGCAGTGGCATTAAATGGAAAGTGTCCATTGCCGCCTCGAACCCGATCAACTTCACCATTCACACCAGGCTCAACCATATGATTATGCCCACCAACCTCGATACCCCTGATGCCATGTGCATAAGCAGGATAAAGACAGGCATTGCTGTAAGGAAACAATCCAGCTGCAAGCATCAACGGGTTCCTCGGGGTCATTGGGGAAACCCCCAAACCAGGTCTTCCATATCCTACCAGAGGATAGACACCCCCATACAAACTTGTTCCATAAAGATACCCATGAGCACCATTATACATCGGAAAAGGATTGTAATGAGGATCAAATCCGGGACCATAGAAAGGATGATTTCCAGGATGATGACCATTATCAAAGAAGCCATTTGAACTACCTCTACCAATATGGCCATTAATTCTATCTTTCGGCACAGCCTTCTTAACCTCCACTCTCTTACCATTCAACTCGTGAAAACTGTTCAGCATAACCTTGTCGACGGATTCCTCAGAATCAAAGGTGACAAAACCAAATCCCCTTGGCCTGTTTGTTAAACTATCCTGCATCACAACTACATCTACCGTCCTACCAAACCTTTCAAAGTAATTTCTAAACTGTTCTTCGGTTAGACTAGATGATAAACCTCCCACAAAGATCTTCTTAGTCCTATTGATTTCATAGCCAGTGCTATTATCACTATTCATGCCCAACCCATTACTAGCTTCCTGGTTACCATGGGGCTGCTGCTGCTGGTGATAGTGGTATTGGTGTTTTTCAATTTTGGGTATTGCTTTCTTCACTTCTACCTGAAAAAAGAAAACAAACTCATCCACGAACTAAACAACCAAGAAATGCAAACAATAAATTCCCTTTGGCAAGGTTTTAAAGGAAAATAATAGCCTATTACATCCAAGATTCAAACCAAACTTTCATACACAAAAAATATCAAACAGAAAAGAACACCAATTCTATTCTGTTTCCGCTTTCAATGAAACAAACAACGCGCGAATTAATAATTTAACATTAAGCGCACAATTAACAATCATAATTACGACTTAAAGGGGTAACCAAAAAAAGAGCAAAAAACTAACCGTTCTTCCAAGAATAACATGATTATCTTGAAGAGCCCTAGCAGCAGACGAAGGATCAGAGAACACAACAAAACCAAACCCTCTTGGGAATTTAGTGATTTTGTCCTTGGCAATAAGAGAGTGTAAAACGACACCGTACTTGCCAAAGTAATTTCTTAGAGTGTCTTCGCTTGTCTCGCGAGATATACCTCCCACAAAAAGCTTCGCTTCGTCAATATCCATCGTCAACTGTAGTGATCAAACCGGAATTTTCAAAAAGCCCTAAATTTGAAATCCCAAATTGAGAACATAAACCCTAGAAATTTTGGATTCTAGGGTTTCTGAACTCGCACCTGTTTCGAGTTTTCTTTTGTTTTTTACTTTTTACTGGATACGATAAGCTTTGTGTGGGCTTCTCAGTAATCCGGATTAAAATAGGTATATATGGTACGATGAATTTGCTTGACACTGGTGCTCTTAGCTACTTCAAACTCTGTATCAGGCCAGGCCCAACGGAGCACCGTCAACTTTTGGGGGCTTATTGGGCTAAGCTGATGAGAGTGCGAATCTAAATACTAATTTTTAATCACTACTATGAAGTTTTTTATCCTTTTTTTTTTTTTTTCATTCAACATATAAACTTCATGATATTTCTAGCTTGATTCATCCAACAATTTACAAAATTTAGTCCATTCTTTGTCTGCTAAAACATGGTAATTTCAAAAGAAAATCGTATTTTTTAAAAAAATTATAAACTAACCTGTATCAGATTGCATAGTTTCTATCGTTTTATAGAATTTATTTGTAATAAGGTTTTCATGATATATAGGACTGAAAATGATCTGCTAAAGGGGAGAAACAAGAATGAGTCATGTACATCAAAATAACCAGCTACATAGTCATCGGACCGTTGTCTCCGTAGAAGACTATGTTGCGGGGCATTTCGTTTTTTATTCTCCTTTGTTCTTTTAGGGATAGAACTCATATTCTAATTTATTGCCATCAATATCAAGATTTTAAAGCAACAAAAAGACGAGTCCTGGGAGCCAACCTTGTCATAACAAATCCGTGACGTTACTTGGAAATTTTGGAACCTGTTACAAAATAGAGATGAAGGCCATGATACGACTATCTTTTCACTGTTTTTTTTTAAAAAAAAAACCGAGAATTAAAAACTAAATTAGTTTTTTTTTTCCCGGATTTGCAATAAAATAAATTCCAAGTAAATGAACTATTTTGGAATGTGATTTTGTAGCTTTGGTTAGCTAAATCATCTGCAATCCCATTTCCATAAGGAAGAGTGTGACTATATGTGACATTCTTCAGACCTTTAGCAAACAATTCGTGCAACTTTATTCAACCTTTACATGCATATTAAAGTTAATATTATAGTTTTATTAAAAAGAAAGTTAACATTAACAAAAACAACTAAAAGAGATTACTATTTATTATCTCATGAAAAACATTGTTTACTATGTGGCAGTTTTGGTATATTTTTAAATTTTTTTTTATTGTTTAGAGACATTCATATGCAAGTTTTATATTATTTTTATTTTTTATCCTTAATGTTTCTCATATATGTTTTTACCCTATGTTTTAAAAGATATATATATATGTATATATATATATATTATTTAAAATTGATTTCTTTAATTTGTCATTTCTTATGAAAATTATCATCAAAATATTTTTTTATTCTTTTTTATGTAATTTTATTTGTTAATAAATATGATTTATTTTTCTCTATATATGGATTTTCAAATAAGTTTTTTTTAAATAAATAATAAATTAAATAATAGAATTCATGATTTTTGTTTTCTTATTATTTAATTAATCAAATTTTATTATGATAAAATTTTTAGTTATTTTTATTGCACTCTATTAACTTCAATATATTTCTTACAATTAAGTTTTTCTAAATATTTGTTTAATTTATCCTACACACTCTAGCCCATTAAGTATAGTCATGATATATAAAAAAAAAAACATTGAAACCATTGATTTCATTAAAAATTAACTATGCATCTATACACGTAACATCGACCATTTTCTATTTATTTTTTTAATATTTTAAAATTATATTTTTCCTAAAATAATTGAATAATATTTTAGAAGAGCAACATAATATTTCAAATGTAAGTAAATAAATATTGATTGTTTTGTAAATAAATAAATATTAACCAAATGTAAGTATTTTCAAAAAGTTAAAAAAAATATTTGTTGATTTTTATACAAGTTTTTATATTGATTGTTGCTTTATTTTTTTGATGCGAGTCTTATGAAAAAATATTAAGATGTTTTTAAAATTTTTAAATTTATATTATTACGAGTTTTTATTTAAAATCAATGCATAATGAATAACGAATTGTCTTTTTTTAAACGACAAAATTTATAAAAATAATAAATAAATAAATAGAATATAAAATTTTAAAGAAATATTATGAAATTATATGAGATTTATTTTATTTTTAATTTAATTTATTTTAATTGACACTACGTTACAGTATATGCTATTAAATTAAAATAAATATATTTAGTTTAGCATGTTATATGGAGCGAAAAGCCCACTGGTCATAAAGAAATATGTGTATATAACATGTTATATTTTTACCCAACCATTTTGTTTTCGAAACAACTTTGATTAAGCCAATGGAACAATATAGCCTACCAACTCATTAAATTTAAACTGCTATAATAGAATTCAATTCATACTAAGAGAAACTAAAAGAATGTGGTGTTTTATTGTAAACGCATTATAGCTCTAAACACAAGTGCATTAAACGAGTGTTTTAACACGAGATTGTTTTCTAGAAAAATTAAGTGGATTTTTGGAAATATACATGCAATTTGATCCCTATTGTTTGAAATTTGTATGCACTAATCCCTTGATTTCATTTACATTAAAAATTGGTCTATGTTCTATCCCTGTAGAGAGGAGAAGTTTGAAGGGAGAGAAAGAAAGAAAGGAAACTGACGAAAAAAGTTTTTCCCAACAACTGTTATGATTAAAAAAATCACATAAATGAATTAAATTAATTGATGTTCGCGAAAGATTCATCTATGATTAAAAAATTGGTTTATGTTCTATTTCTAGAGATATGTTTTCATTTCAAAACTTTAATTTCAATTTAAGATCATTTAAAATGGATTAGAATATATTTGAAGTTGAAAACAGATTTATAGAAACTATTATGATGAGTTTGAGGTGTTTTTAGTTGAAAATTTTAGATAAGTAGCATTTTGGATAGCCGTGAGGGGTGGCGCTCGATTCTTCGGTCGCCAGAAAAAAGCAACAAGTGACGCGTTGTTTCCAATATACGACCCGTCCTTTTTCGCTTAAAAATCATATTGGAACGACGCATCGTTCATTTCTTGGAAAAGAAGAATTGTTCCTAGGCCTCGAAAGCGTGGCCCAAGCTCATGGATGGGCTTGAATGCACCAGACCCGATTTCTTCTTGTTTTTTTTTTTTTCAAATGTTTTTATTTTTATAGTTTTTTTTAGAAATTCTTTTTATACGATTTAGATTTTTATTAGATCAATCAAGAAATCCTTATGTTTTATTTCTCATATATATATATATATATATATATATCTTACACTTAAAAAGTATAAAACTCACATAAAAAATGACACAATGATAAAACAGTTGAGACTCGAGACCTCATGATCATTATAATCTTTTTATCCAAATTTATCAATCTAATATGAGTAATTTAAAGAGGTTTTAAATATTTTTTATTAAAACTAAAATATACACTGGAATTTATTCTTAAATATCTTTTCTTCACTACAAATGACTTAAATTTACAATGATTTTTTAATGTTATTTGTTTTTTAATTATTTATGAATTCAATATGCATAGTTTGAGATTTAATCGATTCTTATTTGATATCACATGTGGCATTTTAAAATAGATTTTAGTGCTAGAGAATTAAAAATTAATATCTATCAATTTTGAGTTTAAATGACCCAGTAGCTATGAAGTTGTCATTGTTTAAAAGATTTTTAGTTATTTGAAACTACACGTAATCATTTAAAAACTATATATAATTAGTTGTAGGTGATTTATCAATTTAATATTCATAATTCAAAAATTTTATAATTTTTTTATAAATACCAAAACGACAGACGAAGTAGATAAAATATAATTCTTTATAAGCCATTGTTGAGCATAAACATCGTTTTTTTAATATTTTACCAAAATAATTAACCATTTAGATTTATAGTGTGTAGTAAAAAAAAAAATTCCTCTCCTCTAATACATATCACAATTTTATAAAAATATGTTGGTGATATACTTTAATTAATTTATGAATTTATGGCATGCAATAAAAAAAACTCCTCTCTTCTGATTTTTTAACCTAACTCCGCTAATACACGTGTTTAACTTTTTCTAACAACATAATCATATTTTTTTAATTTAGTTTTGATTCATGTAAATTTTAATTAAAATTAATAAAATATATAAAACATGATTCGTGAGCGGACCCGCAGCAATGGGCCCTTTTGCTAATACCATCCATAAAGTTGAAAAAAAAAAAAAAAAAGCTAAAAACCTAAAAAATAGAAAGAAAATATCCTTAAATCTGGAAATTATCTCAAAATTCTATAAAATTATATACGTGCTAAAACTATCTTAATTTTTTTTTTAATCTCTCTCTCTCTCTCGTGGTATAAAATTTCTCCACACAAATTTATTGTTTGGGTTAGCAGTACAAGATTAATTTATTTTTTTTAAGCTTTGTAAATAGAAATACATTTATGGCATAGAAATAAGTTTTGAATGATATGGGGTTTTTCAAATATTTTATTAGTTACCGATGTTTCTTTATATTTTTTTATGAATTATTTCTTCTTCTTTTTTGGGGTATGTTTTAAGTTTTTACATTTCTAGATGTTTTATTTTCTGAGTTTTTAAGTTTTGTTAAATTTTTGAAAAATAATTTTTGTAATTTGATAAGTAATTTTTTTGTGATCGTCTAAGGGTTATTTGTTCAAAAAGCAGCAAAAGAATATACGGGAGTATATAAAATGAAAAGAATTTTACAATGATATACGAGAGAAAAGACCCATAAATGTAGATGGATATATTGACTCTACATATCCATATTATAAAAAAAAAATTCAAATGTGATTTTTTTAAGTAAATGTGTCAATGGGAATTCATAAACGATGATATCGAAAGTCCCTACGTTCTAATCAATTCCATTGAAATCGTTAATCACTCAGGAAGCCATATCCATGTTCTATGGTATATTAGGAATTATTTATTAAATAGCTTAATAGCAGTAGAAGGACACTGTATAATAGATTATCAAGATTTCTCAGTAGGTAAGATCGGATCAAGAAATATGAAAAAACCAGTTGCAAAGCTTGCACAGAGAGATTCAATCCCGAGATCCTGTCACATGCTGTGGGTCGAAGCTCAATGCTAAAGTAACAAGCAATGCCATTAGGCATTATTATAATCCGATGATCCTATGCGTGCGAATATTCGATAATTGCGCCCAAATTATTATTTCTAGGATATGTGAACAGTAGAATCCACGTTAATCATTTATCTAATCAAATACTTTTCAAAATTTCAATCCTTTGCATCTGATATAAGCTTATTTATTTATTTTATTTAACGTGATCCTGTTGTGTTAAAAAAATCCTTAAACAAATATGCATGATGATTTCCAGCTATTCACGTTGAATCATGTGGAAATAACCTAACGATTGGGTTTTGATTTTAGAGCCCTTTGGCTTCCATAGTTCCATGTATTGATTACGAAAGACACCCTCATGGAGATGAAAAAACACCCCATATTAACCAGTGATGGGCCTCATACAAAAGGCAGATTGGGGTTTTCGGCCTAAAGTGCCCTGGATAATTAATAAAGACAGTCCAGGTCTCCTGGTCTGGTGAATAAAATATACAAAAATAAGAAGCGAGAAGCATCTCTAGGAGATGTAGGAGGAACATTTCTGGGATTTACGAATCTTGCTTATAGTAGTTGTATCTTTGTCATCTTCTCGTTGCGAAACATCATGAGTATATAATACTCAGAGCACTTTCTTCATAAAAGCATATATTTTCCTGGGGTTTGGGGCCTTCGCTTGTATCGAAGGTACTGCCAGTGGATGCCATGAGTGAAGCCGGCTCAAACTCCAACTCGTAAGTCTATGATCAAGTTTTATTAATGTTTTTTTGGAGACCAATCCAAGGTTTAGCTGCCTCTTTGATTAGTTCTACGATAAATTCTACACGTTTCTTCCCTCCCGTGCTCCTTTTATTGCTTAAATATCTAGTTAGTTTCGGAAAATCAATCGTCCTGTGCTGTGGCATATGCAATTTTGATTAACGATTTAAAGCTAATCCTTCAAGCACTAATGATTAGTTACTAATAATCAAGTTGCAATTCCTCTTTCGCTAACGCATTGCTATCCGTCAAATCCCTCAAAAGCCATGAACGCCAATTTGGACTAACAGTAAAATTGAAACATGGCCTTGGAACATAATAAGCTTACACTAAATAATTAAGGATGGACTTCCTCGACCCACATACATACAGAAAGAGAAAGGGATGAAATATGTCACAGTTTACGCAAAATTTATACTCCAAATTCTCAAGCGCATGTGTAAAATAACCTTTCAGACATCAAGAGAAACTTGCAACTATTTTGTTTGCAAGAATTCTCGCCTTTCCAATTGTTTATTGAATTAGACAACTCGTAAATTCAACAGCATTAAATTTGATTTATTTCAAATCTTAGTTTTGATTACCTAGCAAAAGTAAATGCTCCTTCTTTCCAGAGAAGCAAATGGCATTTCCAAGGACCAACATCTAATATTTTATTTTTTACCTTACCAAATTAATAAGAGAGCGTACAAAAACCAATGAGATGATGAGAGATGACCTTTGTAGCAATAATGACGACAGACAGCCCTATATAACCTAGGTTTCTGCAAAGAGACATCAAACTTGATGCGCTTCAAGCCTTCTTGGACGGGGGAAGGACAAGCAAGGTCGTTCCTTGAAAATTTTAATACTTGTTTAATTTGACCAAGAACAAAGGTGATAAGACATGCCTTTGGGATTACACACTCTCTCCACATGTAAACCCTAGAGAAGAATAAAAAAGAATCAAGGTCTTGTTTTCTTTTTACATGCTCTATCATCCTTGCCTGCCTGGAGGGTATATGGCCCTTCTATCTATATTTTTTTAAATGATTTGCTTGTAACCCCAATAAACCTCTATTCCGACGCTAGACGTTTATGACCCGCTATTATGTCAAACAAATCCTATAAGTTCCTAACAAATTAACCTATGCACTAATTCAAACCCCAAAACAAGAAAACCAATATTGTATTACCTTCATGCGATTCCCAACGCATTGCAGTCCTTGCCTTGGAAATTCACTGTGAAGTATCTTCTTCAAGCTCAGTCAGAGAAGGGAAGAGCGGAAACGTGTGATCAATGTCCAAATCCAAACAAAAGTTAAATGGTTGATGGGGGGACCAAGTGATCTTTCGAGTCAGCAATACGGCATAGGGCCATTAGTTACTCAAACTAAGAGGAAAATTAGTAATCGATATAAATGGATGAAAAAGGGTAGCTAGTCACGTGAGCATCATGACCTCAACTGGGGGCTACCTATGGTATGTTCGTCCTCTCTCATTATTATGTTTGGTTAGGCTTTTCAGATTCAGACTACACTGAAGTTAATTACTTAATTGTAGTTATTCTATTTTATTCTGTTAATTAGATCGATCTGTAAATAATTGTTTGATGAATGTTTTTAGGAAGGAAACTGTTCGACGATATGACGGTCATAGATATCATTTAAAAAAAAAAATTAGAAATAAATTTTTTTTAAAAAATAAATAATATAATATTTATTAAAATAAAGTGTTATTTTTTGTATTTTTTTAAAAAATATTATTTTTGTAAAATTATAATGATTTTTTTTATACGATTGATATCATATAGTACTATTCATGTTTTTAAGATACCGTCAGATTTAAGCCTTTCTTCTTGATTAGGGCATTTCAGCCAGATCTCGATACTTGCTCCTGCGAGGAGGAGGGGGTGGTAATTGGTCGGAAACTACATTAATTTCTTTCCAAATCAGAAATTGCCTACCTTTTTTTTTTCTCCGTCTTTTACAAAGCCAAGATTTTGCTAGTCGGTGGTAATAGTTGGCTACATCTCTTGCATGCGTTGTAAGAACCTGAAGTCTTTTAGTTTTTTTTTAATTGTATTATGGTATGCGCATTTTGTCACTGAGGAAATTTTACCATTAATAGGGAGGAATTAACTAACCTTTTTTTCTTTAACAAAATAGAAATATAGAGAGGCAATTGCTATACCTACATACGTGTAACTAGAGATACTAGCAATATTTATGTGGAATTCAGTTTACTAGTAATTCTATGCCTATATTGGTAAGCTAATTAGACATATCGACAGTAGACTGAACGAGTCTTTTTCTTTAGAATCCAAATCAATACCTATGAGCCTTGATCAAGATAACCAATAAAATCAATCAAACAAAGTCACTTGGCCATCTAATGCCAACACATTTCCGTTGGGTTCGAAATTTAAAATTTTCGGTGAGCGTCCACATTTAATCGGTAGAATTAATTACTGGATATTTGTCCTTGTAATGTGTAACCATTGATACAACAAATGTGCGTTCAGCGTCCCAAAGAAAGATACAACGAGAGGCATCGCTGATCTCTAGGTCATTTCGAAACGCCCCTGAAATGGAAAATTATTGTGCAACTCTTAATTCACCAACCTACTTTGCAGCTAATGCAGTACATAGCTGGTGGCTCAAAACTGACCTTTTAATAGCAGCTGTAAATGAGACCATTTGTTGTGTCAAATTTTGTGATCGAGTCTTTTACATCCAACGGAGAGAAGGGCACTGCTGACGTATAGATCATTTCGAAACTGCCTTTGAATGGAAAATTATTGTGCAACTCTTAATGCACCAACCTACTTTGCATCCAATGCAGTAGCTAGTGGGTTGTTCAAAACTGACCTTTAATAGCAGCTGTAAATGACACCATTTGTTGTGCCAAATTTTGTAATCGATTCTTGCACATCCAACGCAGAGAGAGGGGGAGGGGGAGGGAGAGGGATAACGCAATACTTTCTTGCAGCTTAATTATTAGTGAAAAAAAAAATAGCCTTGCGTTGAGATTGATTAAAAAATTTTAAAAAGAAAAGATTTTAACAACTTGATTTTTAAGCTGAACATCCCACTAAAAATAATATGAATATTTTCATTTAAATTTGAAATTAATTTTTTTAATTCTTTCTTAATTTTTCTTTCCTCTTTTTATATTTATTTATTTTTGGTATAAATTACTTATTGATAGTTATTATTTAGATAATATAAAAAATCTTATAAAGGTTAATAAATGAGACAGATAGGTAACCAATTGTGTGATTTAGTTTTTAAATTTATCTTTGCAAATGCGTTATACGCTACGCGCATTAACCACAAGTTACTGTTGTAACCAAAAAAAAAAAACGTGTACTAAGAACTTTGCCACACTGCGAGAGGTTAAAAAAAAAAAAGAGAGAGAGTCTGAGAGCTTACGAATGATCAATGGAACAGATTTCTGATATGGTATCACTGCTTTTATAAATGCAAGGAATTAAAGGGGAAAATGAAAAGCGTAGAAAATGCTGTATTATGCTTAAAAAAATTGTTTAAATGGTACTATCAAGTGTACACTCAGGTGGGTCTGAGAGATAGCACTGTAAGGACATGAAGTTCGCCGCACAGTATCACCCCGCCTTGGAAATATCAAATATTAGTTGGCCCACACGGAGAAAAGTCCCGTTGATATGGTACGAGAGAGGTGACGCTAGTGGGGACAATGGAAAGGGGAAAAGAACTGAAGAGCGTGATGTGGGCCAGTCTAATGCTGTCGGCAAATGGGAAACGAATTGCTCTATCTACATCTCGTCCTCTCTATGCCCAACAACAAACATCATCTCTCTCCAGTCAGGAAAAAAATTATAAATTACTCCTTCTAGTTTCTAGAAATTAATTAGTTAGTTTTTTTATTTTAAAAATTAATAATTTAGTTATTTCTGTTTATGTTATATTATTTTTTAATTTATTTTTTAAATATATATATTATGAGTTAAAGATTGCTTTTTGAAATAAGGTATTATTGAATTAAATTCAGTTAATCCTACTCAAACTATTAAATAATTTATTTTAAAATAGAAAAAAATAATTAATTTCTTTCTTAAAAATAAATAAATTTCTTTATAATTTAATTACAAGTCATTCTTTTATAATCCTTTATTTTTTTCTTTTTGATATTATCTAAGTAAATTATAAATCAATCATTTTTATTTAAAAAATTAATTTGTTATTTTTCTTTTTAAAAATAACTATTTAATCTCTTATATTTTAATTAGTCAATAATTTAGTCGTTTCATTTTTTTATTAAATTATTAATTTTTGTTTCTCAAATTTTCCTTAATTTGATTTTAAATTTTTAGTTGAGGAGAGGGAATACAACTAGGTGAAGAATATAAATAAAATATCAAAAGCATGATAATTTGAAAAACAATAAATTTTTAATTTAATAAAATAACTAAGTTATTGATGAAATTAAAACTTAAATAATTAAATGGTAAATTGTTAAAACAAAATGGACTAATTAGTTCGTTTTTAAAACAGAAAGGACTAATTTATAGTTTACTCGCTATCAGCTAGTGGCAAATACTCGACGACCATGTTGTGGGCCACGTGGCACTGTCAAGGCCACACCCTCTGTTGACACGTCAACATCAAAGTCTCCCTCTCTCTCTCTCTCTCTCTCTCTCTCTCCCCCCATGAAGCACAAGCCAAATATGGGGATATCGAGATGATATGATGATGGAGATATGTTTGCTTTGCCTTTTTTAACCTTGCCTCGTTTTGTTTGTCTTTGGTTTGGTGTCTCTCCCTCTCGTGCCTCTTTTATTGCCAATCTACCTTTGTCTCCCTCGGTGCTAAAACTTCTAATCGCATTTGCCTCACGCGCTTTCCATGAGTTTTTTTTTTTTTTTTTTTTTGGCTTTTTGGTTAAGATGGATGTGCACAGACCCACCGTAGACGCGGCAAAACACGTAAAAATCTTCACATCCACGCAGAACGAAGGAACAAGATCATTTAAGCACACCCACATCTTCGCGAGAAAACTTCAATCTAATCGGAAACCTATAAAGTCATTCTCCATGGAGTGTCAAATTTGCAATCTTTTTTTCAATTAAATATCAAAACATTTCGAAACATTCTCAATCAAATCTATTTGTCAAGGTTTATCAATACTTTTGTCAAATTTTCTTCAAATCAATGTCATTTTAGTACATAAATGCATATTAGACAAAAAAATATTAAAATTCATTAACTTTTTTTCCGATTTTTCTTTAATTCAATACCATTTTAGTGAATAAGATATACATACTAGACATAAAATAGTAGAATTAGAAAATGTTAAAAACGTTCCGAATCTAATTAATAATATTTATAGGTTTGAAATATAATTGAAAATGAGTATATAGATTTGAGACTAAATTAAAGATTTTGTGACTTCATTCTACTCTCTCGTATAATAATGAGAATCGTAAATAATTTTATTATCAATATGACTCTTTTGGTGCGTTTTATTCACGGTGTGGTTTATAAAAAAAATTGAAAAAGAAAGAAAGAAGAGCACTGTATGTGATTATAGACTTTTTATATTGCTAGTTAAAAAATTGATTTGTATTATTGGCTTCTTTAGGTTTATAAATTATTGTGTGATTGTGTTTAATTTATCATTAGTCGTATCTCATCAACGTGCAAACTAAAAGGCATTACGGCTATGGCATTTTCAAAAAACTAAAGAAATTGCAGTTATATCTCTATGGGGAAATGCAAGCACACGAAATTAGGATAAAAATTGATTTGATGTTGCCATCTTGACCCTCGAGTTAACAATAGTGAGAGATTCTAAAGAGATGCTCTACCAAGTTTTAATTATTAAAATTTAACAATAATGTGTATTTCAACACTAGTCTTGTTATTCTAACTCACCATTAAGTTAAAAAGTTTATAAATCACATAATGACGTGAAAACAAAATTCTATAACAATAAGAAAACATGAGATTTTATCATAGTAAAAAAAATAATTAAAAATTTTAATAACCATGTTGTAAGTATAGTTATTTTTATCTTATTTGAAAACATTTAACTAATTAAACTTTACGATTCAAGCATATAAAATCATGAATTAATATGAAATCTTCCGTATTGCTATTGTTAAATACTCACTGGTCTTATCATTAATGCTTTATTTAATTGGTCCATATGTAAAAAAACAAATTCAGAGGAAAAATAAGAAAGGGAAGAAGATGAATTGAAGCAAAAACTTCCCGATTTTCTCTTAATTCACCGAAAATCATACCAACAACGTTTATATACAAGCTTCCCATTTTGTTAAGCTCAACTCTAACTAAGTCCCTAACGGCTAACTACCCCTTAACAACTAATAGATTAACTTAACTAACGACTAACTACCCTTTATTTGCTAGCTAATTACATACATCTCATTCATGCTATATACACTTTAACATCCCAACTCAAGTTGAAGTTTGCGGCAGATTGTAAACTCCCAACTTACCAAGGAAAAGCTGTCGTTGAGCTTTACCAAGTGATTTGCTAAACAAATTCGCAACTTGTAATTGACTAGGAAGATGATGAGGGGATATCATTCCTAACCGCAACTTTTTCTAACTAGATGACGATCAATTTCAATGCACTTTATACGTTCATGGTAAATTGGATTAGAGGCAACGTGTAAAGTTGCTTGATTGTCACATGCCGAGGTACTAAAGTTAGACCGGAGATTTGCAATTCTATCAAGAGGTTCAAAATCTAAGTTAGTTCACAATAAACCGATGTCATAACTCTATATTCAGATTCACTCGAAGACTTGGAGACAAGTATATTGCTTTTTGGTTTTCCAAGAGATGAGAGCTCCTCCCAACTTAATGCAAGTAACTAGTGATGGGTCTTCCGGTCATTGGACATTTAGCACAATTAGCATCACAAAAGGTCGTTAACTTTAAATCCCGATCCGTCGAAAAGAAAAGTCCATGTCTCAAAGTTCTTTTAAAATATTTGAGAACCTTTGGAGCCATTTGCATATAAGGAATCCCGGGGTTAGATGAACTGGTTTAAGATATAGACAAGATAAAAAAAGATCGAGTCTAAAAATAGTGAGATAAACTAATCTGCTAACTAGCCTTCGACATGGTAAAGGGTCACTCAAACTATCCCCATCGAAGCATTAAACTTATGATTTTGATCCATAGGAATGGAACTAAGTTTTGCTCCCGAAAGGCCGACATCCGTAAGAATGTCTTGAGCATATTTTCTTTGATTAAGATAGAGACCATCATGATTTTGAAGAACTTCAATGCCTAAGAATTAAGTCAAATCTTCAAGGTCTTTGATCTTAAACTTCGATCCAACATGCTATTTAAATTGTCAATGAGTCGTGTTGTCAATCCCGTGATCACTACATCATCAATATAAACCAACAAGGCGATAAATTGATTCTCATCAATACGAGTGAATAAGGAATGATCATATCGAGATCGAAGAAAGCTTACTTCAATCGAGTAGAAGAAAACTTTGAAAACCATTATCTAGAAACTTGTTTCGATCCATACAAAAACTTTACTAACTCCGCAAATAGGTTTCTTCCCAACACCGAAACAATAAAACCTAGAGGGAGTTTCATATGGACTTCTTCATTCAAATCCCTATGCAAGAATGCATTATTAACATCTAATTGAGCTAAAAACCAACCCTTAGCAGTTGCAATTACTAATAATGTCCTAACCGTAGTCATTTTTCCCACGGGAGCACAAGGGTCTTGGTAATCGAGGCCTTTGATTTGTGTATACCCTTTTACCACTAAACGTGCCTTATACCTTTCCATAGAACCATCAGCCTTGTATTTCACCTTATACACCCACTTACAACCAACGACTTACTTTCCAAAAGGTAAATCGGTGATGAACCAAGTGTGGTTATCCTTCAATGCCTTAATTTCCAATGCCATTGCTTCTTTCCATTTTAGATTCCGATAAACTTGGGAGTAGGAAGTAGGTTTATTATGTTCGACAACATTAAGTACAAAATAGTGATATGAAGAAAGAGCAGAATATAAACAAATGAAATAAGACATAAGATACATGCAAGGATATTGTTGAGAGTCATGTGTGTGAACATGTGGTGTGGTAGACAAAATGGATGAACAAATATAGTTTATTTGCTAAGCGAGTGGGACTCTTTATCTTTTTTATTTATGAGAGACATGTGATGATGGAAGTGAAATGGCGGAATCAATATTTGGATCTGGATGAGGAAGGTACTATAGGAAAATTAGATGAAGGAAAAGAATTAGAATCGGATTATTGAATTTGATCGGTGGAAGGCGAGAACGGATTGTCACACGTCTTAGGGTAAATGGCAAATTCACTAAGACCAAAAAATAAAGGAATAACGAGTAGTTGAAGACATGGTCAATGTTGTAAAAGAAAAAACGAATTCAATAAATTAAACATCATAATTGATAAAGATTTTATAAGACTCTAAATTAAAGACTTTGAAACCTTTTTGACCATTGGGATAACTAACGAAGACACATGGGACGACTCTAGGTGAAAACTTATCCTCGTTATGAGCAATGGTAAAAGCGAAACACAAACATCAAAAAATGTTCAAATGTTCATAACTAGGTAGAGAGCTAAAAAGAATTCAAAAGGCAATTTATTATGAAAAATAGAAGAAGGTATTTTGTTAATGATATGAGTAGTAGTCAACATATATCCTCCCTAAAATTGTATAGGTAAAGATGCTTAAAATCTTAAAGCTCTAGCTATTTCAAGAACATGTCCGCATTTGCATTCAAGAATGCCATTTTGTTATGGGGTATTTATGCAACTAGTTTGATGGAGAATGCCATGAGCAAGGAAAAAGGATTTAAAATTTTGATTGACAAATTCTTGACCATCATCGGTTTAATTTATTTTGATAAAGCTATGAAATTGGTTCTAGACTAACTTAAAGAAAGATCGTAACAAATAAGGGATTTCACCCTTTGAAATCATAAGATAAGTCTAACTCGTTTCGAGTGAAATCATCAATAATTATGAGAAAATAATGAAAACCATGATGTGTTGGAACTTTATATGGCATCTAAACATCACAATGAATAATATGAAAAGTAAAGGTAGAAGAAATATCATTTTTATTAAAAGGTAATCTGGATTGTTTGGTAAGTGGATAGACGAGTACAATTCGAATGTTTTACATCACATAACCCTAGCATGACAAACGTAAGATGTCTAAGTTTGCTTAAGGAAGCATGACCTAATCTATAATGCCACAATACGAGTGTCATATAATATGGCGTAACTATTAACAATTGGAATTAAGCAAGAGAATTTTGACTCGTGTGTTTTATGAATAGAATAAAGTGAATACAATCCATCCATTTGTCTATCAATTTCCATAATTATCTTCTACATATGGTCCTGTATGTGGTAAGAATTTGAGATGAAGGTAATAAGGCAATCAAAATCTCTAATGAGTTTATTAATGGGTAAAAGATTGTGTTTAAAAGCTGGAACATATAGCACATAATGTAAAGTAATAGTGGAATGAATAGTGGTAGTTCCTATGTGTGTTACGTATGAAGTTGATAAGTGACTAAGTGTGGATTAGGTAGTTTTATAGGTGATCATAGTGAAGAAAAACAATGTGTGATATGATCGGTGGTAACACCATCAATAATCCTATAATTTAGTTTATGAGATACCGATAAGTAGTGATCGATACCGATCGGATGCTGAATTTGATTCAAATTGGATGAATTTTATTGAGCAAAAAGTTGAGAAAGTTGATTCATTTGATCGAGACTAAATTGAAGGTTGGATTGGAAAGTTACATTAGCAATGGTGTTTTGAGGAATTGAAGGAATCCCAGCATCGGTGCACCTACTCGTTAAACCCCTTCGATATCAAGCTTATAGACAGATTACCGGAATTCATCCGTTAAACACATTCAACATTATGACTCTAGATCTTTTGTAAATTTCCCAAAGTACTCATTACATTCCTCCTTCATTTCAACTTATAATTAGGTGGATAACCATAGAGTTTAAAACATTTTGCCTTTACATGCTTTGATATTTGACGGTTGCTCGCACCATAAATT